GCTATTCTGTTTCTAGCTTTTTGAAAATATATATTATACTATGGTTAACTATAGTCATCCTACAGTGGTATAGAACACTAGAACTTATTTCTCCTATCCAGCTGTAATTTTGTATCTTTTAACTAATCTCTCTCTATCCTTTTCTTTACCTTGCCTTTCCTAGCCTCTGGTATCTTCTGTCCTACTTTTTACTTCTATGAGGTCAACTTTGTTAGCTTCCACATGTAAGGGAGAACATAAAATATTTAACTTTCTCTTTCTGGCTTATCTAATTTAACACGGTGTCCTCCAGTTCCATCCATATTGCCATGAATGACAGGATTTCATTTTTATGCTGAATAATATTTTCTTTATCAATTCATCTGTTGTTGTACGCCTACATTGATACCGATTCCATATCTTGGCTACTGTGGATAGTGCTGCAAAACACATGCGGGTGCAGATATCTCTTTGGTATACTGATTTCTTTCCCTTTGAATAAATGCCCAGTAAAGGGATTGCTAGCTCAGAAAAAATGAGTTTTATGTATATTGTGGTGCTTAAGAGTGCACACACATACATCTATGTTTGAGTCCTGCTGTCTCCATTTATTAACTATGTTTTCTTGGGGTTATCACTTAATTTCCCTATGCCTTCATTTCCTTAATTGTAAAATGGATGAAAATAATAATATCTCATAAGGTCCTTTAAGGAATAAATAAAATAATAATATGCTGAATAGGAGCTGCTTCATAATATAGATGCAATACAGAATTATTAGTTATTATCAACTATCAATATTTTACATATAAAGTAATAATAAAGGTATCACATTCAAATTTGTGATCGAGTTACAAACAATATGGTTTTATTTGGCACACTACACAGCTTTAAAGCAGAACATGGAGCAGAGAGTTTCGTATGCGTATACTCCTTGTTATGATTTTCTTTTGCAAAACAAAGTGTTTTTATGTTCTTTCCTTTCTTCTCCACATCAACTTAGCCACCCTTCCTTTGCATTCCTCTTCCCACCCTGCTCTATTATTTATTCTTTCTTGGGGAAAAACTTAAGTTTTCATTTTCCAGGATAGTTTTTTGTTAAACTTTACTAAACTATTCCCAGATTTCCAAGGTAATGTGAATCCATAATTGAGTCAGAAGAAACAATCATATTAGCTCTGTTCCATAAGCATGAGCTCTGTCAAGAATACTCGAAACTATTTTCTGTTGGCATGTTTACAATTCTAAGAAATCCACTGTGACTTACAGATTATGGATAAGGTATGGGAAGGCTCATGGTATTCGTACCATTTAGCTCTGAGTGGACACTTAGAGTCATTGGTACATCATTTCCAAGTAGAAGTGTTTATACCTGTCAAGTTGTATGAAATTAATGTTCAATTTGTTCACATCTGTACCATAGCTTAAACATTTGTATTATGTCAGTGGAACAAGGAAGAAGACTTGGGACCTTCAAATTTTATTTATTAGTGTCTTTTCATTTATTTCTGTTCTTTGCTAATTGTTTTAAATTTATGAACCTCTTATAAAATAACACCTTTCTTTCTGGAACTCACTGTTCATGATGAAAAAAATTAATGTACATTATTAGCAGACTCAAGATGCCAACAATTATTATCTGTTTTTATATTGATTTTCTTTTGTGAGTAAATATCAGCGCAGAGAGGTGAAATGAATTGTTTCCATGTTAAACAATGACTCTATGATGGAAGCAGCCGTAGATATTTGAATATATTATATTTAGTTCTGATTTTATCCCTCTTAACCATGATTTATTTTTCTGCCCAGCCCCCATCAGGAAGTAGATTTATTTCCTGGTCCAGAAAACCTTTAATTGTCAGTGTTTAAGGGAAAATATTCTAAAATGCATTGTTTGTTGTAAATGAAATTCTCATCATGCTTGTAACTAACTACTGTTCTTTGCATCAAACACAATAGCCACGTTTTCCCTTTGATTAAGGGGAACTGAAATGTGTCTGTGTGAGTTGTTTACACAATGTCTTCTCCAACATCTAGGTGAGCACAAAGTGCCGCGGCCTCTGGTGGGAGTGCGTCACAAATGCTTTCGATGGGATTCGCACCTGTGATGAGTATGATTCTATATTTGCGGAACATCCCTGTACGTATGCCTTAAACCTCTCTACTTGCCGGGAAGGCAATGCCACAGAAAACTGAGCTCAGGTTTCCATTGTGGGTTTCTGTGTTCTATAGTACTGTATTAAAGTCCTGTCCAGTTTGAAATGTTTCAATTCAAACTTGAGTTTATTTCTGAAATGTTAATTGTAACATTTTAAAAGTATTTACA